GGTTTAGGTTTATAAAGTTATGGGCATTCATCATTTCATCACCAGTCCCACCATCACTGTCACCTTCCCTTCACTTTTGTCCCCATTGATATCACGATCATCCTGTTGTTCGTTGATTGCCTCAGGCAGGCACCAGTAATGTCTCTTTCGTCCTAGACCTGAGATTTTAAAAAGTGCCATATTCAAGGCTCTTTCAGAGTTAGGAAAATGAGACCCATCATTGTTACTGGTATTTGGCATATTGGGTACATCACGGGGAGTTTGCCAGACTCTGCCGTGTGGGCAGGTTACATTCAGTAGCCTGCCAGGTTGCCCAAAGCAAGAATGAGATAATAAGATGTTGCGTGGCCACGAATGCGGCCGCGTGCTCCTGGGAACTGGGTTTTATAGTCTCTGGGTTTTGGCCGTTGATGGGATTACCTGGCACCGGGGGCAGTTGGTGGGTGTGACCCCCGCCTACTGGAAGGTGGAGGAACTGGGTGGAGGATGCTCAGCCCCGATCCAAGCAGGCTTGGAGATCTCAGCCCTGGGACCCGCAAGCCTGTTTTCCTCTGCCGGTTCCTTCATGCGTGTGGAGAGTGGTCTCAGCATGGTTGTGGCTGGTACTGGAGGTCTTCGGTTGCCGGGGCTCTGCTCAGGGTGGGGAGGGAAACTCAACCCACCCCCCCCTCCAAGGGGCCCCAGGGAGGACAGTCAGGCGCAAGGGCAGGAGACTCTGCCCCATTTTCTCAAACACCCCTCAAACCTGCCCTGGTAGCAGGCCTGCAATGATTTATTTGATATTGCTTTTTGCCAATAAATTGCTAACAAAATGATCGAAAAATACTTCAGGATTAGAAAGTTTGGGAAAACTGTTGTATTTCACCATGGAACATTAAGTCCTTATCTGAGAGTTTACTAAGCTGTTGTTGCAAGCTAAACCTTCTGTGTTAAGGTTCTGGTTAAACTGAAACATTCTCTTTTTTTATTCTTTTCTCTTTTTTTATCTTTTTGCTTTTGGGGTCACACCTGGTGATGCACAGGGGTTACTCCAGGCTCATGCACTCAGGAATTACTCCTGGTCGTGCTTGGAGGGCCATGTGGGATGCTGGGAATCGAACTCAGGTCGGCAGCGTGCAACATTTTTAAGCAGCTCGTGACTGATGGTGCCTTGTCTGGAGTGCTGGTATAATAGGAGCTGAGGTTAAGCAGAGGGAGGGAAACCAGGCAAGCACATCTGGACTCCTGAGAGGTGTCCCCACGGGGAATCTCTGCTCTTCCCAGTGGCTCTCTACAAGAAAGCAGGGAACAGGGCCATTCACATTTCAGCCTCTCAGACTCTTAGTCTTTATTTTTTTTTTATTCCTGAAATCCATTAAAGCCTGGAATGTGTTATCTGAATCCTGCCACAGACTTAGTGGATGATGGTTATACCTTTGAGGCCAAGGCTGGGAGGGCATCTGAAACTGAAGACCAGGCTTGGCTTTGATGTTCAAGAGGAATGAGATGAAATTGTAGCACTTAGCAAATAATCTAGGAGAACAAATTACGCTTGTTTTTGCTCAGAGTTCTTTTCAAAATTCCCCCTTCCTGGAAAAGATGTTGCAGATGAAAAAAGTAACTTAAAATTATCCTTTTAAACCAGAGCCATGGATTAAACAAAGAAAGGGAACGAAGAGTTGCCTCATGAGCGCCCTGTTTTATCTTTCTCACCTGCTACCACAATTTTCAATAACAATATTCAATAACAATTTCACATTTGCATTTCTAAAAATGCTACAAGTGTAAAAATCATCAAAGGAAAAAGAATAAAATGTTAAAAATCCTGGAGGGACAGGAATGGGGGAGGGGGGAGGGCTTTGGTGGTTTATCCCTTTCTTTAATTTGTAAAAGAAAGTAGGTTATGATAATGCAAGTTTCCCCAAAAGATTTTAGATGAGAAAACTAAAATCAGCCCGTATCTATGACTCAGTGTGACTTACCTTCTTTTTTGCATGTCCCTTTAGAGTCTTACAAATATGTCTGTGGGCCCTGGTGGCCTCCAGCACTGTGGGTGGGTGGGGGAAATAGTTCCCAGTATTAAACCCTCTGGCTATACAGGCTGAGAACATTTCGGAGTCCTTTCCCCAAAGGCTTGAGCATTTTCATGCTGAAACGTGTATCCTGGGGATGGGGAGATAATTCAAATGGGTTGTCTTTCATGGGTGGGGTGCCAAGTTTGATACTGGGACCGCATGAATACCCCCTGCCAAATGCCACCAAAGGTGTCCCCACTCCTAAATACTGTGAGGTCCAAGCACTGCACGGACAGATTCACCATCCCCAGTAGTGACCCCTGGGCCCCAGCCCAGCGCTTGGGAGACTCCCTAAACCTTTACATCCTATATGTCTCTTTCTCTTTTGCCTTTTGCACTTCATATATTTTGAGGTACCCCTATCTTTGAAACTAACACTTGCTGCCCACATCTCCACATCGTTGATTACTCTGTCTCATTGGATTGATGTCATATTTTATTCAACTTGTCCCCCATTGTTGTGGCACGTGTAGATTATTCTCAGTTCTTAGAAATGAGCGGCAGGCCAGAGAGGCAGCTCTGTGGTAATGCTCAGCGTGTTACCACTTGCAGCCATGAGACGTGGGCCTGACTCCCAGCACCACAAAGGAACAGAAATAAAAGCATTGCCTACAAGGCTTCTCTCATCAGTAATCTTTTTTTATTTTTTGGAGTGGGGGACACCTTGCAGTGCTCAGAGCTTACTCTTTGTTCTGCGCTCAGGGATCACTCCTGGTAGAGTTCAGGGAACTGGATAGGGTGCTGGGTACCGAACATGGTGGGTCATAGGCGAGAACCAATAGAGCTATATCCACCATACTGTTCCTTCAGGGCCGCTCTCATCATTGGTAAAGAAATTGTGTGTGTGGTGCCGGGGATAACTTTCTTCTGAATGAGCAACATTTCTCTGCCACTCTCCTGGGTATCCTCAGTTGGACACCTGGCAAAGTCACACAATTTTGCTCCAGCAATGTGTCTCTTGAAATCCTAGTAACTTTGACCCCAACAGGTCAGTTATGCCAGTCAACTTGGTGTTCTGATTTATTCCCAGTTTAATCTTTAAAAAATACTGCTAATTATGGTTGCAAAGAAAAATTTTTTTAAATTTTTATTAGTGAAACACCATGAGGTACAGTTGTAGACTTACAAATTTTTGTGCTTGGGTTTCAATTATACAATGATCAAATGCCCATCCCTCCACCAGTGCTCATTTTCCACCACCAGGGTTCCAGTATCCCTCCCACCCTCCATCCCCCCATCCTACCCCACCCCTGTGGCAGGGCACTCCCTTTTGTTCTCTCTCTCCTTTTGGGTGTTGCAAAAGAGGCACTGAGTGGCAATCATGTTTGGTCTATAGCCTACTTTCAGCATGCTAAAGAAAATTTTTTAAAGAAGACAAGAGGTCTTATTCTCAAATTGTAGAATCACAGAATCTCTCTTTCTGCGGGCTAAGTGGGCAGGAAAAATATGGCTAAATTCAGTTGGCAAAATACAGGAGTTTCCCTGCAGGGGTCAGTGTTCATGCGGATTTAGTTGCCTGGAAAGAACATGAAGTAGCCGTGTACTGAAGAACAGACGCACATGTGGCCTTTATGGGCAGTGACAAGGTGTCATGGATGTGAGTCCTTCTCTCTCCACCTACCCCTTCCTGCCTTCTTCGTGAGGTTCACTGTGCTCGGCCTCAAAGTCTGCTCAGCTGACGTGATTCAGACGAGGTCCTTCTCCTCCCGTGCGCCCCGTCGGGTCAGCGGAATGTACAAAACCCCGATGTTTTAGCTTTTTACATTTCCATGTCTGCGACCCAACCATGTACCAGACCTGCGAGGGTCCGGGCTCCGCGCGGCTGGGCAGAGACATCCCTCTGCAAGCTGGCTGCCAGGCCCGTGCCAGGTGTGGCTGGACAGGGCAAAGCACGGGTTTTGCCAATGCAAACTGGCCGGCTGTTTTACATTCTTGCCATCTCCATCTCCACGCCCCACGTCCGGCGACGCAGGAAAGGGCTGGGAGGTGTTTACCCGAGTGTTCTCCAATATCGCCTACTTAACCGGACGGGTGTCCGCGGGCGCGGGCCGAGCCAAACGTCGCGGGCAGCTGCCTGGCACACACCCACACACACACCCCTGGCTCCCACAGAGCCCGAGCTGCGAGGGGGGTGTCTGGGGAGCGGGAACCCGGCCGGGAAACAAACGCAGGTGTGCGGGAAGGTGTGCGGGGCTCCGCCGGCCCCTGCGCGCTGCGCCCCTCCCCAGCCCGACGCTGCAGACAGGCCGCACCCAGCTCAGCCCGCTCTGCCGTCGGGTCGGACCCCGGGTCTGCGCTGCAGGCAAGCGGCCCCCAGCTGGAGAGCCCCACCTCCTCCGGAGCCCTCGCTTTGGTGTGTCCCTTGCAAGGCCCGCTCGGCGACGTGCTGGCTGCCTCTCGGAACAGGATCGGCTCCACGCTCTGAGACTTTCGGAACTTTCCCGGCACGGGTGGGAGAGGCCTCCCTGCGTCTCCCTCGGACGCGGGCGCGGCCGTCTGCGTGGGGTGGTAGTGCGGGGAGCCCCCCGCGCCCCGAGATCCCGCTCTCCGCGCGCTTTGCAAGCCTCAGCTGCCCGCCCCCCCCAAGCCGCTCCCCGAGGATCTGATTTCTCTTGCCCTGGGCTCGCGCTCCGACTCTGCAAAAGCCGCGACCTGGTGCAGCTGCAGCTGAGCGCGCCGAGGACCAGGAACCGCTGCGCGGGCCACTTGCCTGCCCGTTCGGGTCTCGGGCTCCTTCTGAGTCTCTGCAGAACGAGGTCGAAGCTCCTGGAGCAGCAAAGCATCCCCGGGGCTCAGGACTCGCCCACCCGACCCGGACTCTGAAGACAGACTGAGCCCGGGAGCACCCAGCGCCTTCCCGCAGGACCGCCGCCGCCGCCGCCTCCGCGCGCGATTCTGCTCTCTGCAACCCCACGCGCACGTCGCAAGTCCCGGGTGGGAGCGGCCATGGCCAACTGCTGCTGCCTGTCTGCCGAGGAGAAGGAGTCGCAGCGCATCAGCGCCGAGATCGAGCGGCAGCTCCGCCGGGACAAGAAGGACGCGCGTCGCGAGCTCAAGTTGCTGCTGCTGGGTGAGTGAGTGCGGGCGGACCCCGCGGCCCCGGCAGAGTTAGGTGCAGAGTCTCTGCAGAACCCGTCCGATGTTGGGATCCTTGGGGAGGGTGGGAAGAACTTCTGGACCGACACCCCGGAGCGCTCAGTTCTGATAGGAACCTTTGTCGGGTCCAGGCCACAGGAGCGGGTCTGTGCTGGTGGCCGTGCATGGACTTAGCGGTCTCACCTTTGGAGACGCAAAAATGCAAGCGTAGGAAGTTGATGGACTTGTCCCGAGAGCCGTGAGAGGCATTGCAGGTGTTCCCTTAGCTGTAGGGGTGAAGCTTGAGCTCCAGCGAGCTCCGACTGCACACCAACACCCACTCACGCCTTGCCCTTCACCAGGCCCTTAAAGCGTTCTTCTCAGCTGGGCTCTGGGCTCATCTTCCAGGGCTCAAGTTAGCTGCCTCCCTCAGCTCCCCCCTCAGTCCCTGGCTAGGCGGTGAAGCTGTTTTAGCTGCTTCCACTCTGAGAAGCAAAAGGAAAACACTCCGGGTTTGCCCAACCTGTTCCTTAGGCAAACCTCCTACCTCTTCTGTCTTCCTGTGACCCACTTTGATAGTGACTGGAGGAGTATTTACCTTGTTCGTTTTTTTTTTAAGTAATCTATGTTTTTATTTATTTATTATTATTTTTTTTGCTTTTCTGGGTCACACCCAGCAATGCTCAGGGATTACTCCTGGCTCATGCACTCAGGAATTACTCCTGGCGGTGCTCGGGGGACCATGTGGGATGCTGGGAATAGAACTCGGGTTGGCCATGTTGGCTGTGTGCAAGGCAAATGCCCTACCCGCTGTGCTATCGCTCCAGCCCATGCCTTGTTCGTTTTTATGATCTGGGTATTCACCGATTGATCTTTCCTGGGAACTTGCAAGCACTTCAGCATTTTTTTTTCCATCCCATTTTTTCAGAGCCAGCAAGAGCCCTCTTTTAGACCAGCTTACTCTTCTCTAATATAGAGGTGCTCTAGTATATGAGAAGCTTCCCACAAAGCTTCAAGAGAAAAAAAAAAGTGCATTTAGTTAGGACTGAATAGAGACAGACCTTAAACCTGGTAGAGTGACCCCGCTGGGTTCAGGCACTGGCTCTCCTCTTTGCAGCCATTGTCCCTCCAAGGGCTTTGCCTACTCACCAGTGGGAATACCATACCCTGAGTCCGCAAGTTTGTCCCAGGGACTGTGCAGCTAGGAAGAACAAGAATTCAGCCCCCCGGGAGGGCCCCAAAGCTCAGTGGAGTGTGTGTGTGTGTGTGTGTGTGTGTGTGTGTGTGTGTGTGTGTGTGTGTTTGAAAGAGCTCAGAAACATGGACTGGGGTTCACAGATCCAAGAGGGACAGATGGAACTTGTTTGGGGAAGGAGGGAAATCTCTCCATTGCCCAGGGTCACTCAGTCTTGCCAGGCCTGGTGTCACTCAATCTGAGGGCTGTGGGGATTCTTTGTTGTTGTTTTTGTGCCACACCCTGCAGTGCTCACGGCTCATTCCTGGCTCTTCACTCCTGGTGGGCTCAGAGGACCATACGGGATTCTGGGGATCAAACCCAGGTCTACTCTATGAGAGGCAAGTGCCTTACACACTGTATTATCACTCCAGGGGATTCTGAGTCATTCCTGGCCTTCAGGCATTAAAGCTACATATGTCCAAGGGAGAGGACTCTGGAACAGTCTATTAGCTTGTGTAGTAGTAAAGGTCCTTTGGAGAGCCAGGGAGATCATACAGCAGGTAAGGTGCTTGCCTTGCAGGGGCTGACTTGGATTCAATCCCTGGCACCCCCATATGGCCCCCTGAACTTCTCCAGGAGTGAACCCTGAGTTCAGAGCCAGGAGTAAGTCCTGAGCACCACCTGGTGTGGCTCAAATACAAAAAATCCCAACCAACCAAAACCTAAAATAAATTTACGTGTCTTCCATTTGTTTTCTTGCAGAGACCTGGCTTTAGCTGCACACATTTTGCAGGACAGGCTGAACTATATTTCATTTCCAATTGTTTTGATTTGTGTCAGAGTATGAAACACAGTGTTTGGAATACACCAAGAACTGGGACAAGTACTGGCTCTTTGTAGGACAGACGAGGCAGTGAACAGAGCCCTACTGTCTGGGTTATACGCAGGTTTGTTTGTGTCCGTACTCAGATCAGGAAGGAACTGTGGGTGAGTTGTTTGCCCTGGGAGTTATCCTGAGTCCTGTGGCTGAAGTAACTTCTTCAGCACTTCCAGCCCTTGTGGTGATTTTCTTGTCTTTCTGAGGCACCCACACTGTGTTCAGCTCCGTAACCTTTTCCAGCCACCTGCAGCTGCCAGGAACTCCAGAGAGTTTGACTTCTTTCACTCTTGAAGGCAGTGGGGACCCCTCTGTTTCTTCTCACGCTGCAGCAGGCAGCAGTGACTCAGCAGATACCGGAAATAGGGATTTTGGGTGGTCTACTTCCACTGGTACTGGGAGCGCTTCTTGACTGTGCTCAGCAGTGACCCCTGCTGGTTTGTGGGGGCCAGGTGTAGCAGTGGGATAGAACATGGCTGGCAGCATGCAAGGCAAGTACCTAACCCGATGTAGTCTCTCTCCTGCCCTAGATGGATACTATTTTGTGTGAAGTTACACAGTTTGAGAGAGCAGTATTCCTGGGGAGCTGTGCAGTGGGCAGTTAGAGGGCCAGTGATCAGGTGTCCTGGGTGGCAAAGCTTGCTCAGCCAGGGGGAGGTGAGGGAGGCAGAGGAACTCCAACTCTCTCACAAGCAAGCATCCTTTGCCGAGTCCTTGGCTGTGGCTTGAGAATGTTAGCCAATGCATTTAGGAGGAGGAGCATCCTACAAGCACAGGAAAAGGCCTGGGTTGCTGCCTGCTGGGAAAGACAAAGGTGTTATTGGTGCAGGGCTTGTCATTGGGAGGGAACTGCAGCTTTGCTGTCTCAGAGGAAGGAGATGAGGGAGTGAAGGAGATGGTTACAGTCCATAGAAAGAAACTACATATCAGTTCATCATTGGAAAGTAGGATGTAGAGGAGGACTGATAAGAATTGGGGCTCAGGGGCTGGAGTGATAGTACAGCAGGTAGGGCATTTGCCTTGCACGCGGCTGACCTGGTTCGATTCCCAGCATCCCATATGGCCCCCTGAGCACCGCCAGGAGTGATTCCTGAGTGCAGTGCCAGGAATAAGCCTCGAGCATCGCCGAGTGTGACTCAAAAGACAAAAGAAAAATATTGAGGCTCAACAGGAGTAAATGCACAATAGCAGATAAATAGAGGGGAATGTGATGTTTGGTTGCTTGAAGATGAAAGTTAGACTTAAGAGTTGTGTAGTGATGAGCCCAAGCACCTCCAGCAACCTTGATTGCTTAATTTTATTTTATTGTTGTTGTTTTGGGTTTGGGGGCTATCCCCAGACTGCACTCAAGGTTTCTTCCTGGTTCTGTGCTCAGGGATCACTCTTGGCAGAATGTGGTGAATGCTATGTGGTGTCTGAGTTTGAGCTTGAGTCAGAGTGTGCCAGGAAAGTGCTTTACCCTGCTGTACTGCGTCGCGTCTCTGGTGCTGATGGCTTAATTTTTAAGGTATCTTATGTTGGAAAGCTCTGGAAAGGTTTCCTGATATTTGGTATTTAACTTGTGCTAGGGTTCGGGTTTAAAGTTTGAGTTCTTAATGATTGTACTCATTTGTAGGATGTAAACAAAAACATCATGATATGAGACTAATACCCAAGGACAGTAGAAACAAGGACAAGGAGGATTGGTCCACAGTTGAAAGGCTGCTTCAAGTGCTTAGGAAAAAGGCAGTTGGGATAGAGAAGGGGTCACTATGACAAAAATGGTTGGAGATGATCCCACTGTAGAGGAACTGAGTACTGAAGATAGGTAAAGGAGCAAATACAATGACCTCTCAGCATCTGGCATCTGTCATGATCACCATCATCCTGTTGTTCATTGATTGCCTCGAGCAGGCACCAGTAATGTCTCCTTCTTCCTAGCCCTGAGATTTTAAAAGAGCCATTTCAATGCTCTTTCAGGGTTAGGAGAATGAGACTCATCATTGTTACTGGTATTTGGCATATAGAGTATGACACGGGAAGTTTGCCAGACTCTGCCGTGCGGGCAGGATACTTTTGGTAGCCTGCCAGGTTCTCCAAAGGAAAAATGAAATAATAAGATGTCACACGGCTGCGAATGCGGCCACGCGCTTCCAGGAGCTGGGTTTTATAGTCTCTGTGTCTTGGTCATTGATGGGACCAACCTGGTGCTGGCGGCAGCTGGTGGGTGTGATGCCTACCTACTGGAAGATGGGGGGTCTGGGTGGAGAAGGCCCAGTCCCAATCCAAGCATGCTTGGAGATCTCAGCCCCGGGACCTGCATGCCTGAGTTCCTCTGCCAGTTCTTTCATGCATGAGGCTTGTCCGGACGTGTGGAGAGTGGTCCCAGCATGACCGTGGCTGGCTCCGGAGGTCCTCAGCTGCTGGGGCTCTGCTCGGGGGTGGGGGAGGGGAACTCAACCCTCCCCCCTCCAGGGGGCCCCAGTGAGGACAGCCAGGCGCAGGGGCAGGACTCTGGCATCTGTACTGAAACCATAATGCCCAAAAGAGGGGGGAGAGAGATAGAGAGAGGGAGAGAGAGTGCCTGCCAAAAGCGTTCACACCTTGCTCCTGCCCTCCATGCCTTGGACTCACTTGCCCAGTGCTCTTTGCCCATGAATTCTTGGTAAATGTAGCCTTCACTGCCCCAGTTTCTGAGCCATTTAAAGCACCAGGTGCCATTGGTACATTTTAGGGCTCAGTTATAGGTGGCTTAGCACCTTGTCTAAATTATTCTTTGAATGCTTTCATAGCCAGCTTTTGTTTTGAGTTTCCCCTCCTGTTTTCTGAGCTATAAACAGATTTTAGAGTTGTGCTCCTGCCGTAACCTAAATGTTATAACTGACTTATAGACCCCCCCTCCCAAATGTGTTCTATTGAACTGGTTAGAATACAGTCCCATTCTGCTACCTGGCAGGTGCCT